TTGTCACGGTGAGCTCCTGAATCTAAGTAAGCCGTACATTAACATCTACTCCAAATCGTTTCCAAGTCAATGAAAACTTACAGTATTTGGAACTGAAACCATTTCAAGAATCTTTTCTACGGTTAGCTTTTTCTATCCTTCTAGTGGGTTTTCCTTAAATGAAGAGAGACCCTCTCACACAAGCTCCATAAGGGGTAGCTGAAGAAGGAATGTTCGAGCGTTTGATTCCTCATAAGCTTTAGTCAGCAAATCAGCCTTCAAAATCAGCCTTACATGTCTCATTTCCAGAGCAGCCAAGGAAGCAACTCCCCCGAAACCGTAAGTTTGTCACGGTGAGCTCCTGAATCTAAGTAAGCCGTAAAGTAAATGTTTTCCAAATCGTTTGCAAACCAATCAAAACCGATTTAAGATCAAGCAATAACCCGTTTAAAGTCCTTTATTATTCTATAGGGTTCGGAATAAATTGCTCTAAATCTAGGGGGGTTTGGCCGAAAAGTGCCTCTGCCTTTAAAATTGTCTTTGACCTCAAATTTGGCCCCAAATTTGGCCCCAATTTTTTCTTAAGAATAATCACAAGCATGGATTACTTGTAGATTTACATAAACGCGATGATCGGGACCGTGCATTTGCGTTCATGGCAGCTGATCTTCAAAGCCGCTTGTTCTCCAACAGCATGACGCAAGGATGGAAGCCGCGAGTTTCATGTCTTCTGTTGCATATATTGTGGCCTAAACCCTAAACCCATTGTAGTAGTTTCCATTTTCTTTTCCATTACCCCAATATAACCCCAATATCTACCGTATTAAACGCTTCAGCGCAAGCATCCAGCGACGAGCAGCTGATTTGGATTCAATGGCGCTGGTACACGTCCAACTGCCGCGAGAGCCAGAACTGACCTAACTTGTTACATGAAGTAAGTTTTGCCAGTCCTAGTTCCATGTTGTGGGGCGACACGCTGCTGCGGTGCAGGAAACCAAACTTAACACATGAAATGATGGCGCCAAGCGACATCATCAGACAAAGGGATCTTGCACGCACATGTTGCGCCAATCGCATACAGATAGTAGTTTCCATTTTCTTTTCCATTATCACCAACACAACCCAATGGGTACCTAATATACCATAATATACTATAATGTACTGCCGTGGCCGCGCAGGTGGCAGCCAAAATGAGCGATGCAGCGCGAAATTTCCAATGATTCACATCTGCGTCTCCCAATTTCAGCTCTTGTGCATCTTCAGTAGTTAATGCCGTTGTCCCATGTGATTTTCATCGACCAGTACTCTTGACCGCTTTACGTGGCATGGTACATGTTAGGGCTAGTAGCATCTCTCTTTCTCTCTTTGGCTGGATTGGCATCAAGTTCGCTGTAGGATTGCTGGGTGTAATTCTTTGGGCTGCAAGGCTTGAAGCATGGAGTTGTGAACGCAGTCCATCTTGAAATGCTCCTCAGGCGCTGCTACACAAGTGGGAGGATGCCAGCAGACACTGGAGGCTCCCATATGGATACCGGGTCAAGGTTTCAGCCAAATTTTCTACGCTCTTCAGACGCAGCCCCCAATGACTGCACGGCTTCAGGCCACGTACGGCTTGGTGCATGTGAGGGAAGTATTCCAGTGCACGTAATAACGAGCATCCCATCAAGTGCTGCCATTATCCCAGGTTGGGTAGGCATAATTAAGGGGCGGTAGCGGTTAGTGTAAGATGGAGGCGGTGGGACATGTTGCAGGGGCGAGCAGGGTCACAAAGCAGAAGGCGGTCTCCCAGCATATGGGTTCCTTCTGGATGGCTCATGTAAGACTCAAGCTTTCAGAATACCCAGACCCAGAATCTCCCGGAGCTGTTCTTCAGCTTGGGCATTCCCTGGTGAGAGGTGCTTAACAGCAAGACTGTGTTCTGTTGCTGGGAGTTTACCCTGGCAGCTTATTGTCGATAATTCGCAGGACATGAGCCTATTGCATAAGTGTTTTATCTGGGCCCTGTCGGGGTCTGTGGTGCTGAAAGAGCTAGTGGCCAAAGGCGGGAATTCCCCTAAATAGGGGGAGGAGGGGTTTCCGGCGGTAAACCCTAAATCTTATAGAATCCTCATATACCCCTGCGTATATTGCTGCTATATCCCCCTCTTGTGTTTTTAGACGGCCAATGCCACAATGACAACATCACGCCTGAGCTTTGGGGCGTCGAGCTGTGGTCTTCTTAGACATTGGATACTGCAACAGCGGAAATACAGCAATAGTGCAGGATGTTTCAGGAAGGAGTAACTGCAAGGAAAAAGACTGGACA